TTTTTTAAAGAGAGAGAATTTTTAATATTTATTTTTAGTTTTCGGTGGACATAACATCTTTGTTGGTATGTGGTGTTGAGGATCGAACCCGGGCCGCACGCATGCCAGGCGAGCGCGCTACCGCTTGAGCCACATCCCCAGCCCCCTATAGGCCTTTAATAGGCTATAGGACTTGAGGGATGAACTTTAACCAAGTGGAGAACTAACTGGTGTGGTAGGAGAGGGCACATATTTCAGCCAAGAGGATCTTCATGGCCAGGAGCACAGAACTGAAAGGGAGTTTTGCTCGTGGGAGGAGCAAACTATTTTGAGCAATGTTGGGATGGTGAGATGTGTTGGTGAAGGCTTCAAGGGCCAAATATGTGCTGCTTCTGAGACATCTGAAGGAATGGAGCCTTCTAGGGAGGGAACTTTTTTTTTCTTTTTGGTATTGAGGATTGAACCCAGGGCATTTAACCACTGAGCCACATCCTCAGCCCTTTTTTTTTTTTTTTTTTTTTTTTGTATTTTATTTAGAGAAAGGGTCTCACTGAGTTGCTTAGGGCCTCACTAAGTTGCTGAGGCTGGCTTTGAACTCCTGATCTCCTAGTCTCAGCCTCTCCAGCCGCTGGAAGTATATGCGAGCACCACCATGCCTGGCTTTAGGGAGGGAAGTGAGGTCAGGAGCTGAACAGGAAGGTCACCTTTTTCCACCTTTTTCCAGGATGATGACCGGGGTGAGGAGTGGGAGCGACATGAAGCACTGCATGAAGATGTGACCAGGCAGGAGCGGACCACTGAACGGCTCTTTGAAGAGGAGATTGAGCTTAAGTGGGAGAAGGGTGGCTCTGGCCTAGTATTCTACACTGATGCCCAGTTCTGGCAGGAGGAAGAAGGAGGTAAGGTGGTGTTAGTCAGCTTTCTGTCACTGTAACAAGTACCTGAGATATCAGTTTCTAGAGAGAAAAGGTTTATTTTGGTTCACTGGTTTTATTCCAAGGTCAGTTGACCCTGGGGCTTTTTTGGGGGGAAGAGGCTGTGGTGAGGCAGCACACTGACAGGGAAGCACATAGTACACCAAGCCCATTCATCTCATGGCTGGGATGCAGAGAAGGAAGAAACCAGGGTGTCATAGGCCTCTTTGAGGTCACACCCAAAAATAACCCAAAAACTTCTCACTAGGCCCCATCTCTTTGAGACAGGGTTTCCTTATGTTGCTAGGCTGGTCTCAAACTCCTGGGCTTGCCGGGTGTGGTAGTGCATGCCTATAATCCCAGTGGCTTGGGAGGCTGAGGCAGGAGGATCACGAGTTCAAAGCCAGCCTCAGCAAAAGCGAGGTGCTAAGCAACTCAGTGAGACCCTGTTTCTAAATAAAATACAAGATCTGGGGATATAGCTTGTGCTTGCCTCACATGCACAAGGCCCTGGGTTCAATCCACAGCACAGCACAACACACACACACACAAAATTAGTATACTCTATAAAATAAAATACAAAATAGGGCGGGGGTGTGGCTTAGTGGTCTAGTGCCCCTGAGTTCAATCCCAGGCAACCCCCCCAAAAAATAAATAAATAAAAAACCTCCTGGACTCAGGTGATCTTCCTGCCTCAGCCTCCTGTGTAGCTGGGACTACAGGCATATGCCACTGGGCTAAAGGCCTTCCACCCTGAAAAGTTTTCATCATCTTTCAATCTGGGGATTGAGCTAATTTTAACATGGGTTTTGGGAGGATGTTTAAGATCCAAATTTTAGGAAGATGGCACTCAGGCAAGGGCAGTTGAACTCTCTGTGCTCTTTCAGGGTTCTTTGTTCCCCACAGTGGGTTTCCTGACAGTGAACCCAAACAAAAAGCTAGGAAACAGGCTTACTTTTATTGTATATGAGAGAGCAGTCATCCCTTTTTGGAGTGAGAAACAGAAAAACACCTCAATTCCAATTCTGAATTACCCTCCTGAAAATACAAACAAAAGCCCCAGATTCTGGACCATGTTTAGTTGTCAACAGAATTGGCAGTTCTTAACCCACTCTGCTGAATGCTTTTATCTCTCTGCAGACTTTGATGAACAGACAGCTGATGACTGGGATGTGGACATGAGTGTGTACTACGACAAAGGTACAGGGCAAGGGGTGGCAAAAGGGGTGGAACTGTTGTCCTGGCCTTGGGGTGACACTTTGCCAGGCGTGCTTAGCTGACTGAGACAGATAGGAGACCAGCTCCTTTGCTGTCCTCAGGGGACTGGTTCCATGATCCTCACAGATACCAAAATCTGCAGATACTCATGTCCCTTATGTAATAAAATGGCACAGTATTTGCTTACAGCCTACACACATCCTTTCATATGCTTTACATTATCTCTTTAAAAAAAATCATCTCCAGATGACTTAATACAATGCAAATGCTATATCCATATTATATTGTATCATTTTGAGAAAAAAGTTCCAGAGTATTTTCAATCCACAATTGGTTGTATCCACAGATGCAGAACCAGTAGATACAGAGGGCTGACTACTTGACATCTTGAGTACTTTAAGTGTTGGTTGTGAACAGAGCCTTTTTCCTTGCTGTGTGAGGAGAAAGGACATATGAGGACAGTCCTCAGGGAGATCTGAGTCTGATGAGTAGGCCCTGGTGAAGTGGGGTGATCAGGAACTCAGGCTGTGATCAGAGCATAGTTCTGAAGTAAAAAATGACCTGGGGCTGGGGGGAGACCTGGGTTCTGATTTCATCTGTCATCTATCTGTTGGCTCCGTGAGTTTTCTGCACCAAAATTTCTTTATCTGTATGATGAGGAGAGCCATGGTTCCTACTCTTGGCACACTCCCCTCTAATGAGTGAAAGAAGGTAATATAATTGGATAYCAAGAAAATATATCAGTAAATCTTGTGAGGGGATCCTAGAAACCTGGTCCCTCCCCTGCCCCTTCACTGAGAAGGACCCTTCTGCAAACTGGGTTCTGGTTCCTCAGATGGTGGAGACAAGGATGCCCGAGACTCTGTCCAAATGCGGCTAGAACAGAGACTCCGTGATGGCCAGGAACATGGCTCTGTGATTGAACACCAGGTGGGCACCTTTGAGCGCCACACCAAGGTGAGTGAGCACTGTGCCCATTCCACTGACCCCTTTCTTTTCCTTCTTTGTCTTTATTCCTTGTCCCATCTCCAATCCTCATGCCCTAGGAAGGAGCCCCATTTCTTGAATCTTGTCCTTTCTCTCTACAGGGCATTGGCCGGAGGGTGATGGAGCGGCAGGGCTGGGCTGAGGGCCAGGGTCTGGGCAGCAGTTGCTCAGGAGTACCCGAGGCCTTGGATGGTGATGGCCAGCATCCCAGATGTAAGCGTGGATTGGGGTAAGTGTGGCTTAGGGACTTCCCAGGGACTCAAGCCAGCCTTTCTTCTGTGACCTGGTTTTCCTCTTCCTGCTAGTTTTGGGATAGGTGCTGAGTACTCCTAGGGGATGAACTTCAAAGCAAAGTTAGAAGGAAAAAGTGGATCTGAGCCGGACATGGTGGTTCACACCTGTAATCCCAGCAGCTCAGGAGGCTGAGGCATAAGGATTTCGAGTTCAAAGCCAGCCTTAGCAATGGTGAGGCACTAAGCAACTCAGTGAGACCCTGTCTCCAAATAAAAAATACAAAATAGGGCTGGGGATATGGCTCAGTGGTTGAGTGACCCCAAGTTCAATCCTTGGTACCAAAAAAAAAGTGGATCTGGCACTATTCATTTTTATTTTAGACCAAGCCCTAAGACAAGGTAGTCATTGATCTCCTGGGAGAGTTTTTACTTTTAGTCTGAGTTTGGACTTGAAAACTGTTAGGGAGTCTGTAGTGATGTGATAGAAGTTCTATCTGTGGTCCCTTGTTGCTGATACTATCTGTCAATAGATAGATCTGGAGGCTGGAGAGCAAAATTCCAGACTTAAAGCTCTTTTTGGGGGGCTGGATGTGTGGCTCAGTGGTAGAGTGCTTGCCTGGTATGCACAAAGCTTTGGGTTGGATTCCCAGCACAGGAGTACYCCCCCCCCCCCCTGCAAAAAAAAAAAGGCAGCTGTGTCTTTCAGACACAGATATGTAGCAGCTATTTCCCTGTCCTTTTCCAACCCCTTTACTGAGTTTTCAGAGACAGCAGCCCTCTTATTGAGAGCTCTTTCCAGGTACCATGGAGAGAAGCTTCAGCCATTTGGACAACCGAAGAGGCCCCGTGGAACTGGCTTGGGGCTCATCTCCACCATATATGATGAGCCTCTACCCCAGGACCAGAGGGAGTCACTGCTCCGACGTCAGCCACCCACCAGCATGAAGTTTCGGACAGACATGGCCTTTGTGAGGGGTTCCACTTGTGCCTTGGACACCCCCACAGAGCCTAAGTGAGGGTTGGAGGCTTCCTTGCAGGATGACAGCCCTCTGCCTGGGCCTTGTTTACTACTGAAGCAGAAAGGAGTCTGGAAGCAGCAATCCCTGGATGTTGTCCGTTTTCTACCTCAGGGCTTTTTACAGCCCCCAATCCTTGGATATTAGGGCTTAAGGACCTTTTCCTCCTACCCCTAGTCCCTGTTTGGGCTTGCGCAGTACCTAGAGCTGGACTGCCCGAGACCATTAGCACAATCTTCCCTGGGGGTCTGAAGGAAGCCGCCATGGAGGTCAGAGAGAGGGCGGAAGGAGAGGATTTGTGGTTCCTCGAAGAGGTTTTGGACGGACCATCCACCGCCTCTGCCCCCACTGGCTGGGACCCAGCTACGGAGAGTCCGCGGGAGGTGGCCCGGGCCTGCGACGTAATGGGAGAATAAAAAGGTTTACGACCGGACATCGCTTTTCTCTTCTAATCCGGGCCTGGGGAAAAGTCAGAGGATCGAGACTGGTGCTGTCGGGCTCGCCAGGTCCCCAAGACAGACCCACACTCCCACAGCGAAAGTCCCTTCTGTGTGGCCACGCCCAGCTTGGTAGCGCGGCTGCCTTAGGGCGGGACTTCCTCTCCCCGCCCCGCTGCTTCCGACGCCGCCCGGAAGTCGAGAGCTGGTGCCTTCCGTACCGGCCCCCTTTGCTACCCTTTCCTGGCGCGGGTTCCCTGGGTTGCGGTCATCATTCCCTGCAGAGAGCACGTCGGTGGTCTCCCGCCCGTAGTTTCATCTCCTATACAGGTGCCCGCCCTGTTTTCCCGTTGGGTTCATCTGTTCTGTTCCGGACCACGTTTTCCCCATGGCGGGAGCCGCTCCGGCCACGGCCTTCGGGCAGGCAGTGATCGGCCCGCCGGGCTCAGGAAAGACCACGTACTGCCTGGGCATGAGTGAGTTCCTGCGCGCGCTGGGCCGGCGCGTGGCGGTGGTGAACTTGGACCCGGCCAACGAAGGGCTGCCATACGAGTGCGCTGTGGACGTGGGCGAGCTAGTGGGACTGGGTGATGTGATGGATGCGCTGAGGCTGGGACCCAACGGCGGCCTGCTTTACTGCATGGAGTACCTGGAAGCCAACCTGGACTGGCTGCGGGCCAAGCTGGACCCACTCCGCGGCCACTACTTCCTCTTCGACTGTCCAGGCCAGGTGGAGCTGTGCACGCACCACGGCGCCCTTCGCAGCATATTCTCGCAGATGGCTCAGTGGGATCTCAGGGTGCGTCTCAGTTTGGGCAGGTCCATTTTGCAGGTGGAGCAACTAAGGAAGACAGGGTCCACACCTTCATGTTACACAGTGAGCTAGGGACCAAGTTGCTTTGAAGTAAAAACAGTTATGAGCTCCAGTTTTGTCTCTGCCACTAACTCGCTGTGTGTTCTGGGTGGGATCTCTTTGAACTTCTGTTTTCTTACCTGCAAAACGATATGTTGGTACCCAGTTTGACACTTTGGGAAATAGGGAAGGAGTTTTATATATAAAGTTGGTGGACAAGAGTAAGTGAAAGAATGGAGGCAGATGTATTGTTGGGATTTGAATTTGTTGTCCACTTAGAGCTTTGTGCCAGGCATTTTATTTAAAAAGGGGGGGGGGGAGGACTTCTGTAATTTCAGCCATTCATAAAGCTGAGAAAGATTGCAAGTTCAAGAAGAGACTCAAAACTTAGTGGGGAGGGGGTGGCTGAGTTGTGGCTCAGTGGTAAAGTGCTTGCCGAGCATATGTGAAGCACTGGGTTCCAGTCTCAGCACCACATATGCATAAAAAAATAAGTAAAGGTCCATTGAAAACTTAAAAAAAAAATTAGTGAGGGCCTGGGGATAGTACTCAGTTAGTGGAGTGCTTGCCTCGCATGTACAAGGCCCTGGGTTCAATCCCCAGCACCTCCACCAAAAAAAAAGAACAACTTAGTGAGACCCTGTCTCAAAATCAATTAAAAGGGCTGTGGATGTAGCTCAGTGGTAAACCACCCCTGGTTTCAATCCCAGTAATGTAACCAAAAAAGGAGAAAAAGTGACCCATATCTTCTGGGAGAAGAGCATGAGAATGGCTATTAGAACAAAACAGGACCAGGAGGAGACTATTGGAGAAGGTTTACAGTCTGCCCTCAAGCTTCTAATATGATGAAACAGCAAGCCAAAATGTTCCCTGCCCTCCGAGGTCATACTCTGTCTCTTCCCCTCCCAGCTGACTGCTGTCCATCTTGTGGATTCTCATTACTGCACAGACCCAGCCAAGTTCATCTCAGTATTATGTACCTCTCTGGCCACCATGTTGCATGTGGAGCTGCCACACGTCAACCTCCTCTCCAAGATGGACCTCATTGAGCATTATGGGAAACTGGGTAAGAGTTCCTGTTTTGGGTTGGCAAGGACAGCAGCTGGGCTGGAGTGAAAAAGATCTCAGCTGAAGAACGCTACCTCTGGGACCATGTATGGTAGCAGCCATAGCAGGTCCTAACTCCTGCCCGTTTATTTTGTGCCACATGCTATTGTAGATTTTCGAGATAAGAGGGCTACAGATGGTAATGTGTTAAGGAAACAAGGTGATAAGACAGTGAGTGGCTGGGAGGGAAGAATGTCTTACTGCTCTTAGGCAGTGACAACTGAATGGTGAAGAGCCAATTAAAGGAGGACTGTTCTAGGCAGAGGGTCCATTAAGGGTAAAGGCTTTGTGTTGGTTTGGGCTGCAAAAATACCATTAGCCATATGGTTTAAAGAGCAAACATTTATTTCTGTTTTGGAGACTGAGAAGTCTAAGATCCAAGGTTTGGTGAGAGCCTCCTCCTGACTTGTGGACAGCCACCTTATGACACTGTCCTCACATGGCAGAGATGCAGGGGAGTTGTCTAGGATCCTAGTGGCCAGCATTTTTCTCCTACTGAATTAGTGCTCTGTTGTACCAGAGGTGTTGGTTCCCTAAATAGCATATCCAGCCATAAAGGAGCTTACAGAAGAAAAGCTAAAATGACTAGTACACAGGGAGGGAGGTTGTTGGGGAAGTGATGTGATATTGACCTTATTCAGGGAGGTTAACTACCTCTCAAGACATGAAGGGATGTCAGTACGTTGAGAGGAGCYACCTCATCTCAGGACATTCCTGCCAAGGAGCCCAAATGCTTGACTTTTCTGGGCAGAAATGGACAGTGTAGGGAGACCTACTTTCCTTCTTTCAGTGGGAAATTAATTCACAGAACTGACTAAAGGACCTCAGAGCATCTATTTGGGTCTCCTCATTTTATATTAAGAAGGAACTGGGCTGGGGTTGTGGCTCAGTGGTAGAGCAGTTGTCTAGCATGTTCAAGGCACTGGGTTCAGTTCTCAGCACCACATATAAATAAGTACATAAAATAAAGATCCTTGAACAACTAATAAAAATATTTTTTTTTTTAAAAAAAGGAGGAACTGTCTTAGAAAGGGAAAGTGATTTACCCAAGAGGCCATGCCTGGAATGTATCAGTAATTCAACTGGACCAATACTTACAGAGTCCTTGTAGTGTGTGTTCCAGGCCCTGCAGGTGCTATGAGGCTGAGCTTCATGAGGCAGGGACTAAGCACAGTTCTCAATACCTATTTGAAATTGTTATTTACTACCATTAGTCACCTATAAACGAGGTGCTCCAGTTTATAGTTTTTAATGCTTACAATGGAGATGGAGACCTGTCCATACAGCTAGTAAGTGACGGAGACAGCTGGTGAAACCTATTATTTCTTATTAACTTCATTTCACGGTAGCAAGAAGTATTGAGTGACTAAAGAAAATACATCTGCCCCAGTCTTTGCGGTTTTGTTTTGGCAGTACTTGGATCAAGTCCAGTGCCTTGCACATGCTAGGCAAGCACTCTATGACTTAGCTACACCCAAAGCCCATATATTATGGCCTTTTTTTTTTTTTTTTTTTGCCTCCATTGGGTGTAGGGAGCCAGGGCCTCATGCTTAGTAAGTGTCTATGTTACCACCAAGCAACATCCTCAGGTCTTTAGCCTGATACTGGCTGCTCCTGAACCCTGGTTTCTCCCCTTAGCCTTCAACCTGGACTACTATACAGAGGTCCTTGACCTCTCCTATCTGCTTGACCACCTGGCTTCTGACCCTTTCTTCCGCCACTATCGCCAGCTCAACGAGAAACTGGTGCAGCTCATTGAAGACTACAGCCTGGTCTCCTTTATCCCTCTGAACATACAGGTACTGAGATATCTATTCCCCTTGGCCATATGCTCTGGCTGCCTGGGATTCATTAGCCAAGGGCATATAAAGCTTTCAGAGCTTAAACAATGGTCTCTGTCCTGAGTCTATCATTGGGCTCTCTTGTATTCTGGAGCAGGTCCCGTAGTGAGCAGGATTTAGTTTGCCCTGTTGTATATCACTGCGTCCTCTCTACACATTTTTTCCTCAGTGTGAAAAATGGATGAGTGCAGAAAGTTATCAACAAGGGACTTGACCAGTAACAAGTGTGTTAGGCCCATTTATCTGGGTAACTGTTGACTTTGCAAAGCAGTATCCCACCCCTGTGCGTCTCATCTTGCCTTCTGCAAAGATACGTAGGAGACACAGATGCATGTTAGATTGCTTTGCAGTTGGTAGAATTGAACTAACTGATCTTTTTTTTAAATTTTTCTTTTCTATTTTTTTTTTTGTTTGTTTGTTTTTTAATTTATTTTCGTGTGTATGTATGTGTGTTTACTAGGGGTTGAACCCCAGTCCTTTTTATTTTGAGACTAAGTCTTGCTAATTTTCTGAGGGTCCTACTAAATATTTGAGGCTGGCCTTGAACTTGCAATTCTCCTGCCTCCAGAATTGCTGGGATTACAGGTGTGTGTCACACCCCCAGACCTTTTTATTTTTATTTTGAGAGCAGGTCTTACTAAGTTGTTAAGGCTGGCCTCAAATTTGTGATCTTCCTGCCTCAGCCTCCCAAGTAGCTAGAATAAACCCAGTGGGCTGAATGTGCATAAAGGAGCTTATCCATTCTGATTCGGGTGGGTTGGTAGTCAGGAAAGATGGAATTTAGCTAGGCCTCTGGGACACACAGAACTACTCCAGGAAGCTACATGCACTAGGGCATTATGAGTGAGGAGCGAGGAGGATGTGTTTGGAGATTGTAGGCCGTTTGGTATAGCCTCAATTCTGCATACCTGTCTTTCACTCATTTATTTATTCTCCATGCTCAGGACAAGGACAGCATCCAGCGAGTCCTACAGGCTGTGGATAAGGCCAACGGCTACTGTTTTGGGGTACAAGAGCAGCGAAGCTTGGAGGCCATGATGTCTGCCGCAGTGGGAGCTGACTTCCATTTCTCCTCGTATCCTTACTCCCTAGACTCACCTGCTTCCTGGCCACAATTGGAGTATAAAGCATGGGGTGCAGGAATGGCCATGGGAGGCGCCATCACCACCCTGGTGGTGACCAGTTGGCTCTCTGGTAACTATCTTTCTTATGTGCAAAGGTTGGTCCCTTAGAATGCTTCAGGGTAGCTGTACTCAGAACAAAGGAGGATATTGACTAGAAATGTAGTAGCTACAGAGGCCTAAAAATGTAAGGGCAAAAGTGCAAAGGGTTCAGTTTGCCTGATGTGTTACATGTGAAGGGGGAGGAGATGCCGGCATAAGGGAAAGTGGGCAGGACTGGCAGTGGAGGGCCTGAGTGTTCTGCTGGAGTGCGGCCTTCAGCTCAGGGCAGAGAGCCAGCGTTCAGTCAGTACTAAGAGTTGGACCCCCGAATTTATGGCTTAGACAGTGGCATGTGCTAGTTAACTGGGATGAGGAGGAGGAGGATGGGTGGGTAGGGAGATGCACAGGTGTAATCCCAGCGACTTGGGAGGCTGAGGCAGGAGGGCTGCAAGTTTGAAGCAAGCCTGGGCAACTCAGTGAGACCCTGTCTTAAAATAAAAAAATAAGGGCTGGGGATGTGGCTCAGTGGTCCAGCACCTGTGGATTCACTTCCTAGAATCCCCCCACATACACACAAAAGGAGGGGGCAGGTTTCTCATTTGAAGGGATGAGAGCTGGCAGATGTACTGTTTGAGAGGGTCATTGGACATCTAGAGCTGTCTAAGAGACAGATCTTTGGAACTGGGTTATTGACCAGTTGGGGTGTCCCTCAGGTCACAGAGGCTATGGTCTGAGAGATTCAGCATCCACAAAAGAAGCTGGAGACAAAGGGGGCTCCAGAGTCCTTGGGTATAGAGGAAAGTAATTCTAGCCAGCATTTATTCAGGCCGTTTTACGTGTAGGAAACAAAACTCGAAGGACAGATGAGTTATAAAATGACGGCAGTAAGCTGGGCATGATGCCACATACCAGTAAACCCAGATTCTTAGGAGGCTGAGGCTGAAAGAGTGCAAGTTCAAGCCCAGCTTTGGCAACATTGTGAGACCCTGCCTCGGAAAACTAATAAATTAATTAATTATGGCAATACAATGAGCAGGACCAAGGAGCTGCTTCACACATGCAGTCACTTTCTGCAGCCAAGAAGAGATTTATCATTTTATTTGAGCCTCCATTTTGTTCTTTTCCTGGCAATGAAGTGACAGATTTTATTGAGGACCTACTAGGAACTTCATATTCACAGTCTCGTTTGATCCTCACAATAGCTTTCAAGTGATATTTTACAGAGAAGAAAAAAGGAATGGCAAAAATCAGAATTTGAGGGGGGCTGGGGATGTGGCTCAAGCGGTAGGCGCTCACCTGGCATGCTTGCGGCCCGGGTTCGATCCTCAGCACCACATACAAACAAAGATGTTGTGTCCACCGATAATTAAAAAATAAAATTTAAAAAATTTAAAAAAAAAGAATTTGAGGGGCTGGCTTGTAGCTCAGTGGTAGATTACTCACCTTGCATGTGGAAGGCACTGGGTTCGATCCTCAGCACCACATAAAAGTAAAATAAAGTCATTGTATCTATCTACAACTAAAAAAGTACATATTAAAAAAAAAAAAATCAGGATTTGAACCTCTTCTCTCTGGCTCTGTAGCATGTGCCTTAACAAAGCTGGAAGGTTAGCACTCTCTGGTCCTCTGATCTTCAGCTATGTGGGAAAGAAAGAAATATAGACACATATACATCTGGAGGTTTTAGAGACTTCTCAGACCTAATTGGTCCCTTTTACCTGTGGCCTGAGACTTCACTTATGAGGAAAGAGGGGCATAGGAGGAGTCTGCTAGATATGGTTGGAGGGTGGGCGTCAGTAGAGGTTAAGTACTGCCCAGACCAGTCCTGTGCCTACTGTCAGCCTTGACTCACCCTTCCCCAGCACACTGGGCCTCCAAGAGAAGTACCTGGCACCCTCGGACCAGTCAGTGGAACAAGAAGCCATGCAGCTATAGCAACAAGCTGGGCCCTGATGCACAACCCAGCACCCGGGAAAGTGAAGGCTCCTTGTAAGCAGCAGACAGCTCACAGACTGCAGACCCAAGAGCAGGTCCTCCAGCTGGCAAGGGGACACTCAGTTCTGCAAAGGACTTCTGGACAAAAAGCCAGGCATGACAAAGAGCAGAGCACCTACAGTGCCCTCAGTGATGCCCTGGGCTCCGGGCCCTGCTGCACCAGAAGTACCACCGGGAGGCTGAACACTGGCTTTCCTTGGGTTTTGATGAAATGCACATAATAGATTTTTTTTTTTCTACTTTTTGTGGCTTTAAACTTTTCTTCAATCCTTCAGGCCCAGGGAATTGGGGCAGAACAAGAGACCCTCCAGAGGGTCCTGTTTCTTCACACAGGTCAGTGTTTCCCCGGAGTGCAGACTCTGTTGTACAAGAGGATTGACTCCTACTCCCCAGTCATGTGCTTTTGTCACTCTTCAGTTTTAACAGTGAACTTCACACTCAGACCTTCACAGGTGACACTTCCTAGCTAAACCTTATTTAATATTTTATTTTCTTTGTATTTATTTCATGATTTTGCTCTATTTTTGGCAAGTGTTAGCTTGTCAAAAGTTTGAAAGATTGTTTGCTTCAGATATGAAAAATGTATGCAAAGTGAGTTATTTAAATAAAAATGTTAGCCAGGCATAGTGGTACACACCTGTAATTCCAGCAATTTGGGAAGCTGAGGCAGGAGGATTGCAAGTTTTAGCTCAGCCTCAGCAATTTAGCAAGACTGTCTTAAAAAAAAAAAAAAAAAAAAGTTCTGGGTGTGTAACTCAGTGCTAAAGTACCACTGGGTTTAATCCCCAGTTACCTGCCCCCCCCAAAAGAAAGAATTAAGTTGTTATGAGGGTGTGTAAAAATTAAGATGATTTGAAGCCAGGAAATACTGCTCTGTGCTTCCTTGACCATTCTTAATGCTGGATGGGAATGCCATTCATATTTCCAACCAGGAGGTGGCACCCCAGATTTATTTTTGTGGTTGTAACCTGGCTGTTGGAGGGGACTGGGCTTAGGATGGGTTGTGCCAGCTGTCTCATTTGTATATACCTTCCAGATGGTTAACATCTGTGAAGAATTTGACAGTTTATGAAGTGCCTCCACACACATCCTCAGGTGGTTATCACCACAACCCCTGGAGATTGACAAAGCAGGGACTGTCACTAAAGCATTACCCATTTTAGAAGGGGAAAACAGATGAGGAGTTGGAACTTAAGTCAGCCTTGCTGTTTCCCAATTTTTTGAATTGTGTGTATCTCTCCTTTGCTATTGATAGTTAACAGCCTTTGAACTGGAATGTATCTCAGTGATAGAACACTTGCCTAGCATGTGTGAAGCCCCATGTTCAATCCCCAGACTTCAAAGGGGGTGGATTAGATAAGCTCTTAACCCACAGTATTTGTGGCCAAACATGAGAAAGAATTTAGGCATCTCTAAATGTTTTAAGACTACTAAATCATAAACTGAGGAGAAAGGTCACTGGTGGTTTGAACAGTTGGATAATTCAGTTTAGGAAAATCTATTCTGAATAGGTATTAAAACAGGCACTGGCTCAGCATGGTGGCACACACCTATGATCCCAGTGGCTCAGGAGGCTGAGGCAGGAGGATCACAAGTTCAAAGCCAGCCTTAGCGAAAGAGAGATGCCAAGCAACTCAGTGAGACCCTGTCTCAATATAAAACAGGGCTGGGGATCTGGCTCAGTGGTTGAGAGCCCCTGAGTTCAATCCCTGATACCTAAAAAAAAAACAGGCACCTGATCTTTGCTTCCCAATTTTGGCACCTGGAGCTGAAAGCAGAAGAGTGGGGGGCTATGAGGAGGCTTCTGTAGCTGGAACAGTATGAAAGCAGACGACCTCAGCTCCCACGCTGGACTATAGAGGGGATAATAACTGGGTGCTCCCTCCCTAGCCTCTTTCATCTGAGGAGTTCAAAGCACCTTACCTCCATTAACACCCTGCACAGTAGGTGGGAGTACCCACAGAATAAGTCAGGGAAACCGAGGCCAGGAGGCACAGCCTGGGGCTGACTGTGAGTCACCTATAGGGCCTGGAGCCCAGGAATCCTGACGCCCAGGCTGCTGGACAAGTCCTTCATCAGGGCGTGAGGTGGGTGCTGTGTTTTTTAAACAGTACCAATAGCTGTGGTCATGGTTTTTAATGCTTACCCATCAGAGGCTCCGGCTCCCACCAAAACAAGTCAGGTGTGGGGGCTGGAGCGCGTCATTTACAACTTTATGGCCTCATATCCAAGAGCCCTATGCATTTATTCTCTCTAGTCATGGATTAGAGATGGATGGAAATAATCCAGAACCTTATTTTCAGGCCTCAATTTTTTTTCCCCCCTCAATAAATGTAGTTCCTGGGCTGGGGATGTGGCTCAAGTGGTAGCACGCTCGACTGGCATGTGAGCTGCCCAGTTCGATCCTCAGCACCACATACAAAACAAAAGATGTTGTGTCTGCCGAAAACTAAACAATAAATATTTAAATTCTCTCTCTCTAAAAAAAAAAAAAAAAAAAAAAAATGTAGTTCCTGGTGGTTGGGGAGAGGGGCTCAGTGGTACAGCACTTGCCTAGCACATGTGAGGCACTGGGCTCCATTCTCAGAACCATATAAATAAGTAAATAAATAAGAATAAATAAAGGTCGACAACTAAAAAAAATTTTTTTAATGAAAATAAATATAGTCTCCAAGCAAAATGATTTTCATTTCCTTGTGCATGCACTGAGGTGATGGCATAGGGAAAGCACAGTATAAAGCTCCCTGTCTGTGAGGCTCATTCAATATGAAATGGGCAGGAAAGGACCATGTTCCAATGTGGCTGACACACAGCAGTCAAGCTTATGACTATTTTTTTTTCCAGATAAAATAACTTGGAAAATGGGGCTGGGGATGTGGCTCAAGCGGTAGCGCGCTCGCCTAGCATGCGTGAGGCCCGGGTTCGATCCTCAGCACCACATACAGGCGAAGATGTTGTGTCCGCCGAGAACTAAGAAAAAATAAGTAAATGTTAGAATTCTCTCTGTCCCTCTCTCTCACTCTTTCTTTAAAAAAAAAAAAAAAAGGGCTGGGGATGTGGCTCAGTGGTTAAGTGCCCTTGGTTTCAATCCCTGGTATCAAAAAAAAAAAAAAAAAAAATGGAAAATGAAAAGAGAAAGTAAGTCACCCATAATCCTATTTCAGAAATAATCATTAGCATTTATAATTAATACATTTTTTTTTCCTTTTTTGGGGGGCAGGGTAAGTGAATTGAACCCAGAGATACCCTACCATTGAACTATATCCCCAGCCCTTTTTATTTTTTATTTGAGACAGAATTTGTCTAAGTTGCCGAGGCTGGCCCGGAACTTGCCATCCTTCTGCCTTGGCCTCCCAAGTAGCTTAGCCCAGCCAATAATAAATTTCTGATTCAGACGTTGTATATATTATATATTCTTTCAATCTTATTTTTCTGTACATAAGGGTGATACCATTATATAACTGGGATATTTTATAATTGCCTTGTTTGCTTGCTTGTTTTGGTACTGGGAGTAAAACCCAGGGCCTTGTGCAAGCTGAGGCGAGTGCTCTGCTCCTGAGCTACATCCCCAGATCTTTATTTTGAGATAGGGTCTTGCTAAGTTGCCCAGGCTGGCCTGGGATTTGTGGTCCTCCTGCCTCAGTTTCCAGAGTACCTGGGATTGCCGAACCCAGTTGTATCCCACTGTTTTCAATTACAATATTCCATGTAATTAAAAAATATATAAAAACCTTTCTAATGTGTACATAATAACATTTGGTGGTATGGCTATAACCTTGTTTACCTATCCAGACTCCCATGGTTATCCTATAAGTCACTACCAAGTACTATGGCGAATTAGGAAGTATCCCCCAAAGGATTATGTGTTGAAGGCCGTATCCCCAATGCAGCAATGTTCAGAGGTGGGCCTTTGGGAAGTGACTGGATTATGAGGGCTCTGATCTTATCTGTGGATTGATCCATTTATGGCTTCATAATTTAAATGGACTTTTGGGAGATGATGAAAACCATAGGAGTTGGGACCTAATTGAAGAGACTGGGTTCTTGGGGATGTGGTAGTCCACAGGCCCCCTTCTTTCTCTCTGCTTCCTGACTACCATGAGGTGAACAGCTTTGCTCTGCCACACCCTTCTGCCATGGTGAACTGCCTCATCACAGGCCCAGGAACAGCGGAGCTAGCCAACCATTGACTGAAACCATAAGCCAAAATAGATCTTTCCTTTAAGTTGATTTTTCAGGTATTTTGTCACAGCTAATGAAAAACTAATACACCAAGCTTTTATTATGGAAAATAGTGCTGTGATTAACATTTTTGTACCCTAATCTTTGAGTCTCTGATTTTTAACTCAAGTGAAATAGTTCACATATTCCAGGTTCTGGATTCGTATTACTGAAATCCTTCCTAGGAGAGTGCTACTTTAGGGCTGGGGTTGTGGCTCAGTGGTAGCGTGCTCGCCTAGCACGTGCAAGGCCCTGGGTTCCATTCTCATCACCACATAAAATTAAGTAAACAAAATAAAGATATTGTGTCCAACTACAACTAAAAAAATAAATATTAAAAGAAAAAGAGAGTGCCACTTTATGTCTTACTGAGTCATCCTTCCTGATATCCCTGCTGGCAATTACCATTAGGATCTGTGCATTTCTTGACTCTGAAGTGGAGACTCCAATACTTGGAACACAGTGTGAAATTTGGAAGAACTCACTAGGGACCACAGATCATTGGTTCCCAGCCTAACAAAGAGGCTTAAGAGGGAGGGAGCCCTACAGCCCACAGTGCTGAAACATACCCAGTCTGTATGAGTTAGCAAAATGCTCACCAACAGCTGGCTCACGATGAGAAGTTTGATTCCATCAGGATCTGTAGGAAGAAGAAAGGGAAGGTAGATTTGAGGGATTTTCTGTCCTGTCTCAAGAATCCTGAGAGGGAGCCAGGTGTGGTGATGTAAACCTATAAGCCTAGCTACTTGGGAGGCTGAAACACAAGGATCACAAATTTGAGGCCAGCCTGGGCAACTTAGAAGACCCTGTCTCAAAATTAAAAATTAAAGGGCCAGGTGTGGCAGTGCACTC